ATCTCCCCGGCTCAATTTTTTGAGAAGGGTCTCAGTATGTAGTGCAGGCTGTACTTGAACTCACGTAGCCCAGGCTGGCCTTGAACTCCATTTCAGCCCTCCAAGTGCTGGGATTACAGGTGCGTGCCACCACACTTGGCTGTTCTAGCTTATTACTCTATTTCATTTTTAAAATGTTCAATGCATCTTGGCATGGTGGCACGAGCCTATAATTCCAGCTACCCAGGAGGCTGAGAGTAATGATAGAGTTGCTGCCCCAGACAGGGCAACGCAGGAAGACCTTGTCTCAAATAGTAAAACAAGCCGTGTGTGGTGGCGCATGCCTATAATCCCAGCACTTGGGAGGCTGAGGCAGGAGAATCACCAGTAGTTCAAGGCCAGTTTACAATACAGAGTAAGACCCTGCCTCAACAAAACAAACAATAACAACCATGCCTCCCAAAGCAAAACAAAACAAGAAATGGGTGGGTGGGAGCTTAGTCAGGGATAACAGTGTGGCCAGATCTCCTCAGAATAACAGCAAAATGCTACTTTTCTTTCACACACAGTCCTGGGACGTGGCCGTGGCTCTTCCATACTGTTCTCTTGAGAGATGAGAGCAGCTGGTTTCTGCGGATGGAGTGCAGGCATTTGATTTCCACAGATAAAATCCGGTGCTCCCACCCGTGCACTCCCCTCCCCAGCTCCTGCAGTAGCAGAAGGACTTTCATGTTTTCATTGCAGCTCTTCAATATGCAAAGCAAAGCCCAGCGGCCGGGGTCCCAGGCAGTTTTGCTAACAAAATCAAATCCACAGGCTTTCTGCGGCAGCCGGAGCCAGCCACGGAATCTACGCTGCTTAAGGCAGCAACTTTCTGGGGAGGGAGCTGCCTGCAGTTGGCTTTAATTGTGGACAAACTGTGCACCCTGGATACTCCAGACGGGAACAGGAAAATCCCAGCTTTGGGAGTGAGGCCCAGGGGGATTAGTGGCAGATCAGGAAAACGCCTTTCCCTCACCTTCTTATGCTGGCATGTGCCAGCCTGAGCCCTCCTCCGGGGACTTTCTGAGATGAGCAGAGCGGTGAGAGTCATAGGTGCCACTTTGAAAAACAACCAAGCCCGTTTTGTTCTGTGGTATGCTAAGGGTCCCCAGTCACGAATAATTAATCTGGATTACATAAAAGCAGTATACTGTCGCCGTCTCTCTGAATCCTCGCGGCACACAGAAGACACTCAACAGATTTCTGTTGACAGTGGGGGTGGAGACGATGGCTGTTCCCTACCCTGACACACTCCAAGGCGGCATCCAACATTAGTCAGCCCCGTCCATAGGAGAGGATGAGTGAATCTGCCAACACTGACCTCGTGCTTGGTGCAGAGGACAGTGGGAGGTGCCAAAGAAGTGTCAGAAATGTCCCCAGCCCAATTATTTCCATTACAATTGAAAGCAGGCTCTGCCTGTCTTGTCCCCTCTCGTATGCCAGGCCCAGCGTGGCGCTGGTGTGCAGCAAATATTCAGTAAATGTTTGTTGCATGAGCAAGTGCACAGAGACCTCTGGGCCACGGGCAGCATGTCCCAGAATGATGGCTGTCACTGGACAGCCCAGGGCAGCGAGGCAGCAATGCCTCATGAGTCTGGTGAACACAGGTTCGGATGGTGTAGACGTTTCTGGAACCTTTTAGGTAGGGGGAAGCAGGTCTTTTTCCAAGTATGTGCAATGACATGCCTCTTTTTTTCTATTCCTTTGTGGTGCTGGGGGTGGAACACGGGCCTTGTCATGCCAGGTACCTGCTCACCCACACAACTTCACACCTCACACCAGCCCTCCTGTGTGTGGACATTTCTCCAGGAAGGGTGTCCTCTGGGAAATGCTGTCTCATCCCTTATGCATTACCCTAATGCTCACCTCCCAGCCACCCTGCAAGCGTCAAGTAGTAAAGGGTGCAGCAGCACTGGGTGGAGAAGAGTGTGCAGGTGGTGGGCAAAGCCCTCTCACAGCCCACAGCCTCCCATCCAGGCCACCAAACTGTCAGGTGACCACATATGATGGAATTTTGTTTGGAAGGCTCAAGGATGGTAGAAGTTGAGCGTGCCTGATGAGGGCCCAGAGCTCGCCTCTCTCTTTCCAAGTGCCTCTCTCTGGCTTCCTCGAGGTCAGGAAGTGAGCCTGTGCGGGCAGCTCTTCACCAGGAAGCTGAGAGGATGCTGCAGATGGGCAGCCCAGCACCCAAGCAGCAGGTGGCCCTGCTTCAAGCCAAGGCAACTTGGGGACAGGAAGGCACTTGCATAAGATAGGTGGGCGGGCTCCTTACTACGTTCACTGGCTCTGGGGACATCTGCTTTACCTGCACAAAGCTGAACTCCCTCCAGTTGAGTGTGTTTGCAATGGATGGCAGTGAGGTGACGGCCAGCAGGGACAGTGTTCCAAGGGCCAGCACTCCCAGTGAGAGGTAGATTTCCATGCGCCAGACTTCCTCCTCCACCCAGAGGTGGCTCTTGTTGGCCAAGACCTGGAAGGGACAGACAGAACAGCATGAGCACCGTGGTCTCCGCTGGAAGCCTTGGGGTGTGCTGAGCCAGCGCCGAAGAAGACCATCGGTCAGGGCTGCCCGTCATGCCCCACCTGACATCCGACAGGCCCTGGCTGTGTGGGAAGTGCTGCTCGGGGGTTACTGACCCCTTTCATCTTGCAGCCACTCCAGAAGGAGGGATCACTAGGAACCCATTCCACACAGATGAAGAAGACAAGGCACAAAGAGCAGGTCCACGGGATCCTCTAGGCTCCCGCACGTCTGTCTGCCAGGGGCAGCCAGCCACAAGGGTCACGCTGCCTGAAAGTAAGCAGTCCGGGAAGCCAGAAAGAAATACACACCCTCCAAGCATGACTGTACCACAGTTTTCTGGTCCCCACATCACAGGACAACAGAGAGATGCTCTACCAGCCTGGGACTCCTCAGTCTGATGGGCCAGCTCTGCTGGCTGTCTCTCCTCTAGCGGGCGGGTCCCCATCACCCTGGTCCCTTGGTCTGTCCCATCATTGGCTCAAAACACAAAGACACCAAGGAATTCCATTTGAACCAGCTATTCCCCTTTTAGCATCTTCCTGAAAGATGAAAAGACATCATACCCATGTTTATATCTACGCATACTCCTGCTGACAGCGACAAAATCCCTACCTCTTGGAAGCAACCTGTATGTCCATCAACAGATAAATGGGTAAAGAAAAGGTGATATTTACACGCAATGGAGTGTTACTCTGCTATACAATAGGGTAAGCCTGAGTCATTTCCAAGAAAACAGATGCACTGTGAGAACACAATAGTAAGTGAAATAAACCAGACACACATTTATATACTGCATAGTTTCCCTCATATCAAAACTCAAAATGTAAAGAGCAGAATAAAAGAGGTGATATAGGGAGATACATTATATTTATTTTTAAATTTTATTTATTTATTTATTTATGTGTGTGTGTGTGTGTGTGTGTGTGTGGCCAGCTCAGCCCACCAGGGGGCGGGGTTGGCTGGCATGTAGTGCTGGGGGATTGAACTGTGGTCCCTGTGCTTTGCTAAGCTTGTTCTAAGTAGGTGATTTAGACCAGTGAGCCATCTCACCAGCCCCAATTATATTTAAATGATAAGGGGGAATCAAGAGATGGAGAGGAGAAAGGGAAGAGAAAGAGTGCGAGAGAATTCAAGCTGTGCTATGTACATGTTCTCATTAGCTTGTCTCCACAAGGAATGTAATCATAATGTAACGGAAACATCTTCTAATAAAAAATAAAAAATGAAAAAGATTAAAATGGAAGCCCCAGACTGGGCATGGTGGTGCCCACCTACAATCCCAGAGCTTGGAAGGTTGAAGACAGGAGGATCGCTAAGAGTATGATCTGTGCAGTGAGACCCTGTACTAAATACATAAAAAAAAAAAAAAAATTAGAAAGTAAAATGAAAACCCCACAAAGACACACATGAACACTCACCCCAGGCCCTCACTTCTCACCCACTTGTCCGTTGCTGCTGGAGCACACCTGGATTGGTGGCAGGCAGTGGCCAAGAGGCTGGCGTCCAATCAAGAGCAGATCTGTGAGTATTCAGGAAGCACCCACTATGGGTACCTGCCTGGGGCTGAAACCAGCGCCACCTCTCAGGGCCCTGGGTTCCCCTGCTGAGCTCCAGGATGAGTAAATGGGAGAGTGGCCGAGGGACTCTGCCAGACTGAAAACCCATCCCCACCTGCCCACCCAGAGAGCCAGCAACAGGGCCTCTGGCCCGGGGACATGCGGCAGCACAGCAGGCACAGGGCAGAACATGTCAGCCCATTTCGGGGAGCATCACCTCCCAACTTGCTCAGGGAGCTGAGCTCCCGAAGTCAGGGTGCTCTCTGAGAAGTCCTGGTGGTTTCCTTCTATCAGGGCAGGGCTTCCCTGAGAAAATGTGACCAGCTTCAGCAGACTGGTCCCCAACTCTCAAAACAGGATGACTCGTGGGTTCTTTGAGAAAAGACTACAGCAGGGGCTTGGTTAAGCCACTTACCAGATAAAACATTAAAAATGAATCTAGGGCCTCAGCAAAGGTGGTTGAGAAGCTAATGAGAGGAAGTATAAAGGAACGAGTGAACGCTGCCCTCTGGGCACTCTGCTTGCAGTTGGCAAACAATGACTCCTGCTGTGCCGCTACAGGGCAGGTAGTATGTCTTGGTTCTTTAGGCCACAGGAGGACCAAGAGCTGGGGCCTGCTTCTCATCCTGACAGATAGTCATGTGTGCCCCTGAGTATCTGCCTCTGTGCCTCAGTTTCCCTATCTGGGAGAACTGGATGATGTCATGTCTGAAACTTTACCATCTTGTTTATGCACCTCGTGGATGGGAAGCAGCGAGGGCAGCTTCAGTCAGAAAGCTTTGGGGAAGGGCTGGCCAAGGGGACCTGCAAAGGCCACAGCACCACACTGTTCCTCAATTCTACTCCACTAGTCACTCCTAGAACATTCTGGTAAGATGGAGCAGGCAAAGTCTCAAGTTGGTCTGCTCAGCCGCACACACAGGCTCGCAGAATGGCTGGGCTTTTCTGGACAGTTCTCTTCCGCGGTGATGCTGGGAAGGGAGGGGAAGGCAGGAAGTGCTGGATGGCCAGGAAGCTGGCTGAAGACGTAGAAACCCATGTCACATGCTGTCCTGGGGATCCTCCCATGTGAGCAGCAGATCAAAGGATGGGGTAGCCATGTGTGCTTCGGTCTTCGGAGGTGAAGACCACAGTGGGGTGCTCTTCCTGCTACAGGGGTGTGGCTGTCAGCCAGAGATGGGAAGACGGCATCCAGGGGTGGGATTTTCTTTTCGGTCAGCTTGCAGCTACTGCAGGACATGGGGGCAGGGAGCAAGGCCATAGCACCTTCCCCCATCCCCTCACCCAGTCCCATGGTGGGCGGTAGAGAAGAAGAGAGCTGTGCCCAGCCCCCGGGCCCAGGGGAGGAGGAGCAGGGAGTGCAAAAGCAGCCTGGGTAAGGCTGCCAGTGGGAGAGCCCACAGCCAATGTGATGCCAGCTCTCCCCTGGGCGCAGTCAGGAGATGGGCAACTGGCCACTTGGCAGTTGTTACCTTGTTGACAGTGCCACTACCTCTCTCTCGCTGCTTTACTGTAAGGACTACACAAGGATGAAGATGGGGCTGGGGAGAGAGCTTGGTGGTCTAGGAGTCGCTTAGCAAGCACAAGGACCCAGGTTCAATCCCCAGTATCACTGCCATGGTGGGCCCACTATGCCAGCACTGAAACTGGGTGTGGCAGTGCACACCCGGAATCCCAGCACTGGGGAGGCTCAGACAGGAAGATCACTATGAGTCCAAGCTGCATAACAAGACCTTGTATCAAATAAATAAATAAATAAATGATTTAAAATCTTGGTCTTAACCATCCAGCAGAAAAGACTAAAAAGGAAGTATAAAAAGTAAAGCCATATTAATATGTGGAACTGTAAAAGGCTCACATCAACAACTTCTGACATTGCCAGTCCTATAGATAGCCCACTACTATTATGGACTACTGGACTATATTGGATTAGTTTGCTGAATTCATACACCTACAATATTTAAATGGCCATGGAATACCGATCTCTGACAAAACTAAACAAAAAAGGGGATACAAATAAAGGACCATTTTGTATCTGTATATACAAAATAGTTAGGCTATATATATAGCTACTTTTCTTAATTGAATGAGAAGAAAGATTTGTACTAATAGTGTTTGGACAGGACATCATGTCTGCATCTTGTGCTCTGAATAACCACTATGAAGACAACAATATGCAAGGTTTTAATCATTGAAACTGTCCTACTAACCTGTTTTGAAACTGTCTCATTGCTGTTTGTTTCTCAATAAAATTAATAAAAAAAAATAAAAGGATGATGTCTGCCTGTATTCCCACATATCCAAGAGGCTGAGGCAGGAGGATTATAAACTCAAGACCAGCCAGAACAAATTAGTGAGACTGTCAGGAAAGAAAGAACAAACACCAAAACCAAAACCAAAACCAAAAGGATGCCTTTTGTAAAAGTAGCATGCGACTTGCACATAATAATCGGTGCTTAACATAACAAATGGCTGGTGCTGTTTCTAGTGGAGGCTGGGCAGTTCATTGAGTTCTTGACCCCAGTCTATGCATACTCTTCTCTTATTTTTTGGTACCAGAGGTTGAGCTTAGGACCTTGCACTTGCCAGGCAGGCACTTATATCACTGAGCTATATCCCTGGTCCTATGCATACTCTTAAGAGATGGCTGGTATTGGCTTTATGGTCGCCAATTTTACCAGCATTCACCTGTACTGGGAAGGGCCCTCTTTATAAATCCTGGACCTTAAGGTATGGAAGAGCCAGTTTGAGTGATATGAAAGTAAAAAAATAGAAATGTGTACAAACTACAGCAGCTTCTAGAGGTGGGTATGAGGTGCAGGGAGACAGGCTGGGAGAATCCTTACAGAAGTAGGGTTTTGAGGGAGGAATAAGAGTTTGCCAGATGTCAAGCTCTCCTAGTGTGGGCAGCTCTGATGGCCTGTCTAGGCGCTATGTGTAATATGTCACAGAGGAAGTGGGTGGATGAGGTTGGGGTGGGAATGTGGCCTCATCCTATAGGTCTACCATTACTCTGAGGACAGCAGGGAGTTCTTGGTCCTCATAGTGGTGTGGTTAGTTGACTGATCTTTGATGGTTGTGTGCAAATTAGACTGGGGTAGGAGAACTAGAAGAACAGTGCCTGGGTTAAACACTGTCTTTGATTTTGATCTTAAAATGCGTCTCTAGGAATGGCATAAGCAAACCAACAAGGGCCACACAGATATTAGTTACTGTACCAGTATGCCCACAATGGTTTCAGACATTTTCTCTCGAGCTGGGACATGATCTATGTTAATCTGCAGGCTCAGGGGTTCCAAGGAAGCCCTGGATGAGGTTCTTGTGCCTGGGCTCCCAAAAGGCCCAGTGGGCAGCTGGGAGAGTGTGGGGTGTGGGAAGCGGTGACGAACGCAGGCCCTACTGCCAGGGCACAGCCCACCTGACTGCACAGCAACTGCCTAAGGCCCCTTCAGGGCTGCTGCATGTTGAACCTTTCGTCTGCCCAGCTCTATCCCTGAGAACTCCACAGAGCAAGCAAAGCCCCTTTGTGAGACAAGCCTTCCTCGCAGCTTCTGAGAGTGGGCCATCCTAAGGGAGTCACAGTTGCCTGGCAACCTGGACTGGCGCCTGCAACCCTAAAGGGCTTTGGAATCCGGGGAGCCACCCCCACCCCCACCCCCATCTGGGCCTGGGCATTGGCATCGGGGAGGAAATGAGTTTAGAGTATCAAGGACAGCCTACGTTGGTGGGGAGTTTAGAGAAAGGCAGTTGGGCAACTGTCCCCGGGGGTGGGCAGGAAGCAGTGGCTGGTCTTGTGCCCTGTGGGTGGATGGTGTCACCTTCCCAAGGACTGCCTGACACAGCCACCAACTCAGAGCGGCAGCCTCCCCACTTCCTGGGCTGCAAGTGCTGTCCCAGTACTCCAGGAGCTCCACACAGCCCCCTGCCAAGCAGGTTGAACTTTTTTTTTAGAAGCAAGTAATAAAAGATCACCAAAAATCATCAAATACATTAGCTCTAGGAGAGACCTTGAGCTGCACATCAGGGGCTCAGGGACAGAGAGGGCCTGGAGCTTGCTCCAGGTCACTATCTCTGTTCTACTCAGTGATGTACAGGACAAGAGCTCCCAGCTCTGGCCTACCAGCCTCTGATCTGTCCACCCAGCTCAGGTGAGGGACAAGCACTGTCTTTCTTATTCCTGTCTGTGGCCGCAAGGGCATGGCAGAGTAGGCGGCCAGTGGATGAGGACACGAACCAAGGGTCTGAGCTCTGTGTTCAAGCACCAATCTGCAATGCAGCAGCTTGTGCTGAACCCCTGACCTGCTACTTACTGCCTGTGTGACCTTGGTCCAGTAAATGAACTTCTCTGTGCCTTAGTTTTCTCATCTGCAAAATCGGCTAGTACAGCCTTTACCTTGCAGAGTGAGACAGGCATTGAATGAACTCAGAGTGGGTACGGGAAGCATTTGAATGGTCCCTGGAACATAGCAAGCTCCTTTTAAAGACTATTCTTTTCTCCCTTCCTCTCATTCTCACTAGGCATCTTGCTTCTGCACCTGACGTCTGTGGTTCTTGATTTTTCCCAGGGAAGCTGGAGCCCACAGAGGCAGTGAGGCCAGGTGTCTGTGGGTGGTGAGATGAGGGCCTCTGAGAAGCTGGCAGCAGGGAAGTGGAGCCCAGAGTCAGCAGGGGCAGAGGCCAGAGGTGACCAGGCCTGGCCCAGCCTTGCTCACCAGTCCCCTGGGTCCCCATCCTGCGAGGGGCTGGCCGTGTGGCAGGTATGTGCAGGGCAGGCCTTACATCCTCAGCAGCATGAGCCACAGCAGGGCCACCAGGCTGGACTGAGGGAGGATGACGCGGGCACCTGGGCCGACCTGTGCTGCTGGAATGGGCAGGGCTCACCACTAAGGGGGCCAGGGCTGTTGCCTGGAGGAGGCATTACACCACCACTTGCAATCCTTCACTTAGGCCTGAGACCCAAGAGCCTGGTGCTTGGCCCAGGAGGGCACCAGTTTCTGTACACATAGCTGCTGGCTGACGCTGTCTCTGTTCCCACCTGGCATGGCCTGATGGCCCTGCCTGCTGGTGAAGGAGTACCATATGGCTTTTGTAAATGAATAAATAATGCCACCCACCACCCTCCAAATAAAAAAACCCATCCCCAGAGACACCCACTCCTGCGGCCCTCCCCACCCCATGGATGGCAGCTCTGTCCTATGAGCGCAGACCAAAGTCCAGACTCAGCCCTGACCACGCTGCCCCACTCACGCCCATCACATCACCATGCCTGTGTACTCCAGCTTCAAAGTGGGCCTTTGACAGCTTTCTGCCCTGCTCCAGCCCCCCAGGCTCCCAGGCTCCCAGCCCCCTGCCCTACTGTGGGCTTCCACACTGCCTCCTTCTGGCCCTGGTGCATCCACCTTTTACCCCTCTATGCTGAGCCCAGCAGCCAGGTGAGCCATCTAAGGGCATCAGGCAGATCACCAGTCCTCCACCAAAGCCCTTCACTGGGTCCCTGAGGTCTACAGCCAAAGCCCTTCCTTGGCTTTCAAGGCCTCCAGTCTGGCTTCCACCTCTCAGGCCTTGGTCTCCACAGGCTCCCTTCAGTGTAGCCCCACAGGCCTTCTGGATACCAGGTCTGCTCCTACCCAGTAACCCTGCTCCTGCTGCCCCTTTGGCCTAGAGCACTCTCAGCTCACTGTCCCGTCACACCAGCAAGCCCCACTCGGCCACTCCTAACACCACCCCTTCTACCATCCCAGCTTCACTTTGCTCCTTAGTGCTCATGAGCTGAGCACTAAGTCTAAACGTCTGCTCTCGCTTGACGTGGTCTCCTGCAGGTCTGCACCCAAGAGGGCGAGGTTTTCCCCCGCTCCATTTCCTTATGTTCAGAACCCAGACAGCAGGCTGGGCAGGGCTGCCCAGCTGGAACAGAGTTTGCACTTGGCCCCTTGTGTGTGGAAGGACAGAAGGGAGGAAGGCAAGGGCGGCACCTGCTTGACGGCCAGGTTGACCAACTCGTAGCGGTGGGAGCGGCGCAGCGGCAGGCAGAAGCTGTAGAGTGCATGCAGCGCAGCGCAGAAGAAGCTGAGCAGCCCGATCTGCTTGCGGTGCTGCAGCCAGTGGTCCAGCCAGTCGGGGAAGCGGCGGTACTTGGTGCCCCGCTGCAGCTGCAGGGCAGCCGCCAGCACACCGGGCAAGTACACCAGTGACAGCAGCACGTAGGCCACGCACGGCAGGGTAGTGTTGACTATGGACACAGGCAGCTTGTAGAATTTGTTCTTGTCCTCCCGAATGTAGGGGTGCAGCACATCTCGGGTGAAGTTGTAGGCAAAGAAACACACAAAGAGCCCCAGGGCCAGAAGTGCGGGCACCTTCCAGGCTGGTAGGAGGCGCAGCGGCATGGCCTCCACTTCGCGGGCTGAGGCCAGGGAGCCCATGTCCACGGGCATGAAGCCCATGGCATGAACCATCTCTGAGACGGTGCGCTTGGCTTCTGGCTGGTCACAGCAGATGGGCACCTGTGGGGAGAAAGAAAAAGCTAATTGGGTAGGGTTGCAGGAACCTTGGAGTGGGCAGTCTCCCAGACACACAAGCTCAACTTCTCACTGAGCAGCTGAGGAAGTTGAGGCCCAGAGCCATGCCTGAGGGTGCCACTGGGAGATGGTGCAGCAGGGAGCACAGGGTGGCTCTGACTCCAAGGGGTTTTCCAGGGCACTGGTGGCCTCCGGCCTCTGGTCCCGCGTGCCAGCAAGGCCCACCACTCACAGTGAGTTTCCAGCCCAGCTTGCTGACAAGAGCTGGCAACATGTCCATCTGGGCAGCCCCCTAGCTCTGGGAGTGGCTGCTTCTGAGAGCTGTGGCCTGCACTGGGGGCTGCTCAGGCAGTCCAGGACATGTACTCTACCTGCACCTCCACCCCTCAGTACACTGGGGTCCCCCTTGGTTCCACAGGGAACCTTCCACCAGCCAGGCTTGCCTGCCATCTCAGCCAGAAGCTATGCCCCTCACGAGCTCCAGCCGGAAGTGTAGAGTGCCTCACACCTCCTAGCACCCTGTGGGCCTTGCTCTACTCTGCTAGGCCCAGGCTGGGCCCCAGCACCTCCTGAGCACCTAGTCTGAGCCAGGCTTCACACACATGATCCCTCAGCCCACAGGCAGGTACTACTGTCTGTATTGTTCAGATTGAGCACATGGGATCTGGGAGCACCGTGTGGTACCTCTGTGCCTCTGTAGACTGTCCCCTCATCCTGGACTGCCTTCCTTGCTCCTGAGCCTAACACAAGGTGAGCTGAAGTCCAAGCCTACTTCCATGTCTTCTCCAACTGACTCTGCCCTGAGCCAGCCCTGACATGGGAGCCCCAGGACGCATCCACATTCCAGGCCCTGAACGTAGAGCCAGGGAGCACCTGGGCATTCTCCCCTGCAGCCCAGCACCTGCCTGCAATTCTTGGATGTGTATGTGGATCTGAGATTCTTCCACCGGAAGGGGCGGGTGGCCTTTGGCATTAAACACTATCTTGTCTTGGGAAAGCTCCTCCTGGCAAGGAGTGTGTGCAACTCTGGCTGTGCTGTGCAGCCTCTTTTCAGCCCCAGAGAGCTTGCTGTTGGCTGTTCTGAGAAATCCACTCAGTTCCTGGAGGCTCTTGGAATTAACCAAATAAAATCTAGGTCTGCCCTGTCCTCCTCAGGGCCTGGCATCTAAGTAGGCTACTTTCCTTTTTCTGAGTCCAATTTTATAAGCAAAGTCTCTCCTTGACTTCAAATAGACAAGAAGCCATTGCCTTTTCCCCCTCAGCCCCTGGGAAAACTAACCCCTTCACAGAAAGAAGATGGGTTTAGATCCACCTGAAAATGGGGCTCAAATCCCAGCACAGCAGCTATGGGTTTCTAGGTCTGATCATTAGGATCTCTAACCCTCAGTTTCCTGCCCTGTAAAATGGAACTTGGCGGTGACATGACATTAGCTGAGATAATGCACACACACAAAATCTGACATGCTAATGGCCTTCAAGGAAAACAAGCTGTTTATATTTATCATATGACAACACCCACCTGCCTGTTGCCGTCCCTCGGGCCGGCCTGCAGGGTCCAGGCAGAGATGACATTGAAGGCCTTGACCACTGTGCAGGTGGGGAAAAGCGAGGCCAGGTACTCTGCATTGGACTCGCGACGCTGGAGGTGCTCCTGTTCTGTGGGGTTGCTCACGTCCACCAGGATCTTACCATCTAGCTGGTCACTGAGGCCACACAGCAAGGAGTAGTGCTCCCGAAACACAGCCACAAAGATGACCCCTGGAGAGCTCACCGCCTCCTCCTGGAAGGTCACTTGGGCAGACGAGGGGAACAGCCCGGCTGCGCGTTTGGGGTTGCGGCTCCCCACCACCACGCTGAAGCCAGATCCCACCAGGCGTGTGGCCAGGGAGCGAGCAAAGTCCCCGCTGCCCAGGATGCCCACTTTAGGGGCCCCACTGGGGGGCTCTGCAAGGCTCCCATCGCTGTCCACCAGGTGGCGGCTGATCAAGGGCTTATCCATCTTTCCAGGCCTTCTCGGGGCTGCAAGACAAGACAGGAATCTGGTTACTGGAGGGCTCCGGCCTTCTCTCCTGCCACCCTCTTCCTCTTGTCCAACATGGAATTTATTGATATAGAGTCTTGCTACACAGCTCAGACTCATAGTAATCTTCCTGTTTCAGCCTCCCCAGTGCTGGGATTACAGGTGCATGCCACCACGCCCAGTTTCAGGGCCAGCATGGTGCACCTGGGGTTCCAGGGCTGGCATGGAAAGTGGTACTGGAGATTGAACTTGGGACCTTGCTCTTGCCCGGCAGGAGCTTAGACTGCCAAACTATCTCCTCAGCCCCTCATACATCTTCAAACATCATCCTGCCTCTGTCCTGGGATGGCGGGGACTGTTAGGCTAGGCCACTATAGAATTGTTTGCTGGGGAGCAAGCTTCCTGAGTCCGAGGACACAGACAGGCAGGTGCGAGCCACGGCCTCAGCCTGCCCCGGACAGTCTGACCTCCCTGCGAAATGGGAGAGGGTGCTTCCTGCCAGTTCTAGGAGCTCTTCCCAAGGGGACGATGAGCTTTGTGCATGCAAGCAGGCCTCCTGTTGTACCCCCACACCCACCCCGTGCAGCCTTGGAGCTGTGTGCTCAGGCAGCGAGGGCTGCGCTAGGCCTGCTAGGCCAGACCTCCTGGGTTCCGATTCTGGCTGTTAAGTGCTGATTGGCTCTGGGCCTGTCAGTTTCCCCAGCTAAGGGGAACAATCCTAGTATAGCACCTTCTTAGAGGCAGGTTGTCAGAGTAACAAGCAAAGGCACAGTAAGCACTTGGTCAGCAAGGCTCAGGAATCACTAAGCAAATCCTAGCTCCCAGCAGCAGAAGCCAAGCTGTGCACTGCAGCGGGTATGTGGTAACGGAAAGGGGGTGGGAGACCCTGTCTGCGCCCCTCCAAACCTGCCTGCGAAAGACAGCCAGAGTTGGGTGGGAGAGGAATACGCACAGGCCAGCACTAGGGACCCTCCCAGAGCCTCCCTTGTCTCTGTAGCTTAGAAGATCAAGGTTTTCCTTGTGGTCACTGAGAACTGGGACAGGCACACCCAGGCCTTTCCTGGTCACTGCCCGCCACCTGGAGCAAGGGGAAGTCCTGCCCTGAAGGGAAGGGAAAGGCAGCACACGAAGGCTTCTAGAGGCTTCTAGATGGCTGCCGCCATGTTTCCAGCAATTAGAGTAATCGCAAATACTCCTTTCTGGCTGAAGCCTGTCCTCTATCTGTGCTTTCTCCTTCCCATCCTCCTAACTCCACCCTGAGCGCCAAGCAGGGTAAGGATGGGCTGTAGTGTGTGTGCAGGGAGCACAGGTGAGCTCTGTCCACTGGAGAATGGATGCTGGCAGCTGGGGGTGGGGCCCGGGAGCAGCGCAGGCCTGGCTGGGGCTTTTGTCCTGGGAGGCGACGCCACCTGCCATCTGACAGTCCTTGAGGAGGACTGATGGCTTCACCACCGCAAATCAGTAGAGCCACCCATGGTGAGGAACAGCTTCTGCCTTAGACTTTGCCTTGTACCCTTGGGGAACCCCGGATTAGGCATTGTGGGCAAAGTTGGCCCTCAAGGACTCTGCTCAGAATCTGACTTGAGGTCTGGTTCTCTTAGAGGAGCTGAGAAAGAGGTGTCACAGCAGAAGGAAGTCACAGGCAGGGGCTGGGGTTCACACTGGCCTCATCTCTGCCCCAAACCAGTGCTGAGACTCAGGGGTGTCATCGAGCCTTTCTAGGTGGCTTCTCTGACAACAGTCACTGCACCAGATTATCTCCAAGTCCCTCCCAGCTCCAGCAGTCTAGCAACCAAGCAGAAGTGCCAGGCTTGGGTCCTAGAGGCCCTACTCTCAGCCAAAGGACACACAGGACCCTGATATCATATACCTCTAAAGTGCTTCTTGCTATGTGGGGCATGAAAACACTAGAGTGTCATGCTTCCTTGTGAGTTCTCTCTCCTACCCCTGGCTGGTGCCTTTGTCACTTGTGAGGCAGGGACAGAGCCACCTGGGTAGAGGAGCCAGTGGGGCAGGTGGTTAAAGACATGGAGTGCAGGGCAGGCTGCTGGGCTTAAACCCTGGCTGGGACCACCACTAACTAGCTTGAGAAAGTTTCTAAGCCTTTCTGTGCCCTGGTTCTCCCCCCTCTAACATGGGGACACCGTGAGGGCTGCTGTGAGGTGAACCAAGCTAACATGGCCCAGGCCACAGAGCTGCCTACCTGCGCACTGTCCTCTAAGCTCTTTTTTTTAATATTTAAAAATTTACTTAATTTATTTGGGATGGGTCAAGCAACACAGCTTGGACTCATAGTGATCTTCTTGTCTCAGCCTCCCCAGTGCTGGGATTATAGGCGTGCACCACCATGCCTGGTTTCAGTGGCCAGCATGGGGTTCTGAGGCTGGCACTGCATGTGGTATTGGGGATTGAACTCAGGTCCTTGAGCTTGCCAGTCAGGTGCTTAGGTCACCGAGCTATCTCTCCAGCTCCATCCTCTAAGTTCTTCATGGTGCATGAGGGCAAATCCTTTTGCCTTCCTAATCCAGGGTACAGGCCTGCTGCACACTGAAGGTTGGTGGGGGTGGGACAGGACAGGCAGCACACACCCTGGAGATCCCCAAGGCCTAGCACAGCCCCTGCCTGAGCCTGTGGCCTGAAATTAGGGTGTGATTAATTCTGTCTGAGCCTCTGTCTGGCCCGGCTCCACCCTGGAGGTTCTATTTAGAGATTCAGGAGGAAGCAAGCCGGGGATCAAATTGCAGCAGGTGCCCGGGCCTATGCCACTTGCAAACCACCTTTCTAGGCTACGGTTAAAGGGCACTAAGGCGTGGGACCTGCACCTCTGGGCCCTGCCCAGGCTTGTTTGTCCCTTATCTTCTTAGCAAAAAACAACTGTAGTGGAAGCCAGGCCTGGTCCAGGCCTGCTGCCAGGAGCTGCCCAGGCGTCTCATGGTGACACAATCTTTTCTGCATGAGCAGCAACAGCCCTGCGGGCACGGATTAGCACGGGCAGGCCACTGTTTGTCCTGGGAGGGGGGGCAGAAACACTACCGAAATGCAGCACAGATCTGGGGAAGTCATCATATCTTCCACCCTCAGTGCTTGGGCTTCCACTATGTTACCTTCCTCGGTGCTGGGGAAACCAGGACCTTGTATACACCAAGATTTTCTTTTCTTTTCTTGAGACAGGGTCTCATTACCTTTTCCAGGCTAACTCACTGTGTAGCCCAGGCTGGCCTGGAACTACTGCCTCAGCCTCCCGAGTGCTGGGAAGACAGGTGCGCACCACCACACCGGCTTAAATTACGATTTTGTGCACCGGCTTAAATTACGATTTTGTGCACCTGAGGCTCTCTGCTTCCTCCCTCATTGTCAGGACTTTGTCACGGCTATCTGCCTGCCACCCATGCAAGGCCCAGGCTCCTGCTCATTCTCTGCAGACAAGAAATTCCCAGAGCACACTACCAAGAAAGTGAAATGACAACCCCCAGGATAGGAGGGAAACATGGCCAGTCACGTGTCTGATAAATATATACTGGCTTTGAAATATACAGAGAACTCCTAACCTTATAAATCTATTAAAGATAAATCACCTACAAAAAATGGGCAAAAGATATGAACAGACATTTCTCCAAAGTAGAAAAGATACTTAGCATGTTCAGCCCTTAAAAATGCAAATTGGAAGCACAATAAGGGTAAGGGAGACAGCTCAGCAGGGCAGCACCTGCCCGGCAAGCGCAAGGTCCTGAGTTCGATTCTCAGCACCACAAAACAGAAAGCATAATGATGCTGACTTACAATCACTAGGGTGGCTAGCTGGTAATAAAAAAGTAGTTAACAGCATGTGCTGGTGAGGATCTGGGGAAACCAGAGTCCTCCTACAGTTATGGAAATATGAAATGGCGCCACCTTCCAGGTCAGTCTGGTAGCTCCTTAAAAGTCTGAACAGTTTCTATATGACCCAACAATTCCACCTGAGGTACAGTTTCAAGAGAAATGGAAACATATCCATATGAAAGTGTACATCACTGGTAGTGCATTATTTATGAGACTCAGGAAGTAGGAACCAGCCAATCATCCACAGGTGGTTAAGCAGGAATGGCCTGTCCAGACGCTGGAAGACGAGCTAGCCACAGGAAGCAAGGAAGTGCTACTGCCTGCTGCTCCAGCACGGACGAAGCTTGCAAGTACTGTGCTCAGTGAAAGAAGCTGGTCACAAAGGCCCACGTACCATATGGTCAGATTCCCAGAAAGCGACTACACAAGGCAAAGCCCTAGAAAGGGAAGTAGTAGAGTGGAGGGAAAATGAGTTTCTTTAGAGATGATGAAAATATCATCAAATTGATTGCAGTGATGGTCATACAATTCTGAATATCCTCAAAAACACTGACAAAGCTGAGGGTGGTGGTGCATGCCTGCAATCCCAGCACTTGGGTGGCTGAGAAAGGAGGATCGTCAAGAGTTCGAGGCCACCTTCAGCTACACAGTGAGTTCAAGGCCCTTCTTAACTACATAGTGAGACCCTGACTGAAACAAATAAACAAAGACAAAACCTCCCACCGATGACGTACTTTCAATGAGTAAACTGTAAGATACGTGAATGATAGCTCTAAAAAGCTGATACAAAAAAGAGAAGCTGCTATTAACATTTTTCTAGCCTGCTGTAGTAATGCACAACCGTAATCCCAGCCACTTGGGAGGCCAAGGCAAAGGAAACTGCAAGTTTAAGGTGAGCTTGGGCAACTTAGTAAAAGCTCCCCACCCCTGAAAAAATGGCTCGGGATATAGCTCAGTGGCCCCAGGATTTGATCTCCAGTACAAAAAATAAATTTTTCTCTATTAAAATAATGAAATTTAGGTGCTACAGACTATTCCTAGCATAATACCTCTGAACCAAGAGCAAAAGTGCTGGGGTGAGCATCTGGGACACTCAGTAAGCTTAACACATGAATTATCATTATTATTTTTTAATGTATTTGGTTGTTGTAGGGTCTCACCATGCAGCTTGGACTCGTGG